GTTCTTAGATAGGAGAACGGACTGCTCTGTTGAGTACTCCTAATTCTTCTTATGTGAGATTCCCAGAGGAACAGGACCCAACTTACCTTGGGACTGCTATGGAAGATGCAACAATGACTTCTAAAATTATATTCCATTGGGTAAATCCATTAATGGAAAAAGGTATTCGGGGTTTGTTAAATCATTCAGATGATTTATTTGATTTACCAGAATACTTCAGTACTGGCTATATTAGTCAGAAGATTGATCATCATTTACAAACTATGGTAAATGCAATATTTTAGTTTATACTATTCTACTGACAGAAATAAATACTTTCGAAATAAATAATATTACAGTCCAGACAACCGAATAGTACAATGGAAAATGCTGAAAATTCAATGTTAGAAACACGTATTCAAATTATTAAAAACGAGAGAACACTGTTTCATTTATTACATAAATGTTTTGGTTGGGAATTTTACTCAGTTGGAATATTAAAATTCATTAGTAATTGTGCTTCATTTATGGGACCACTGTTATTAAACAAACTGATTGGTTTCATAGAAGACAAGGATGAACCTGTTTTGAATGGATACTTGTATGCATTATTATTATTTATTAGTGCATTAATAGGTAATGTTTAAATTTTTGTCAAACCTGTAATTAATTATGGGATTTACGAATTATAATAATTTTGTTATTTCAGGGGCCTTTTGTAATACTCATTTTACATTTTGGATGTCTATTGTTGGTTTAAAAATTCGTGCTACAATCATAACTTTATTGTATAGGAAAACCTTACATTCTTCAGGTATTCACTTGAGGCAACAATTTAATTTTGGTGAAATTGTTAATTTTATGAGTACAGACACTGACAGACTTGTTAACAGTTGTGCAAGTTTTCATGAATTTTGGAGCATACCATTACAGGTAATTTCTTATATTATTATATTATTATAAAGATATTCTAATACAAATTCTTAATTTTTTTTTTTTAGCTAGTCGTGACATTGTACCTTCTTCACGAACAAATAGGGATTTCATTCTTAGCAGGAGTTACTTTTGCAATAGTTCTTATACCTATAAACAAACTAATAGCAAATCATATTGGAAAGCTTAGTACAAAGTTAATGGAACGTAAAGATCAAAGAGTCAGACTTATAGGAGAAACATTGAAAGGAATTACAACAATTAAATTAAACGTGTGGGAAGATCATTTTTTACGAAACATTTTCAGTCAGTATACATTCATTTTTTGATGATTGATGTTCGTATACAACTTGCTAAAATTTCTTCTTTATTTAGAATTAAGAGAGAATGAAATCAAACATTTGCGAGGTAGAAAATATCTGGATGCACTATGTGTTTACTTTTGGGCTACAACACCAGTACTGATTTCGATATTAACTTTTACTGCATACGTACTGATTGGGAATGTACTTGATGCCAAGACGGTTTTTACTAGTATGGCTTTGTTGAATATGCTAATAGGTCCATTGAATGCGTTTCCATGGGTTCTAAATGGTCTTACCGAAGCTTGGGTGTCACTTAAGAGAATTCAGAAAATGTTAGATGTAAGTAGAAACTACAAGTTTTCTAATAAAAATAAAATCGGACAAAATTTTTAATATTAATACTATTTAATTAGTTGCCAGATGCAGATATGTCATCATATTATTCTGAATCTGTACCTGATCTAGACGTAGTGCTTCAAAATGTAGTATTGAATGTAAATTCACAACAACAATGTGTGCAACAAAATAGTGTTGACACACCTGAAAGTCTTTCAAGTCCATCTTCTAGTTCAGAGTCTAAAAAACTAGTTACTTTTAAAGATGATGGTATATTTACTATACATGATATTAACATTACAGTTCCAAAGGTAATAAAACAATATTATGTTTAGATTGATTCATGATTTATAAGCTGAACGAATTCTGTTTTAGGGTAACTTAATCGGTATTATGGGAGAAGTAGGTAGTGGAAAGTCGCTACTTTTAGATGGTATTTTGGGTGAAATTACTAAAGTTCGAGGTACAATATCAGTGAATGATGTTGAAAAGGGTTTTGCATTTGTGAAGCAAAATCCTTGGTTACAGCGTGGTACTATTCGGGATAATATACTTTTCGGTAAATCTTACGATTACAGCAAGTACAAGTAAGTAGTGAATTAGACAATTCAAGGTCTCAAAATATTCTAATACAAGATGATTTATAACAGGAACATCTTAAAAGCATGTGCTCTTAGTGCTGACTTAAATTCTTTACCCAAAAAGGATTTAACACTCGTCGGAGAAGCGGGAAACACTTTGAGCGGTGGTCAAAAAACACGAATTTCTTTGGCGCGAGCTGTATATGCGGATAAAGATATCTACCTATTGGACGACATATTAGCGACTTTGGATCCGAAAGTTGCTAGTTATGTATTTGAACATGTCATTTTAGGGTTATTGAAAAACAAAACGAGATTGCTATGTACTCATCAAACTCAATATTTAATTCACGCGGATTTAGTTGTCGAAATGTCTAAAGGCAGGGTTGTTAATCAGGGTAAACCGAGTGATAATTTACCAGACTTAGAGGAATATTTATTATCTTCAGAATCTATAGATTCAGATTTGGACATTATGTCTGTAAGCGACCTACCAAAAGATTTCTATCAATCTGGTATAAATGAAAGGGATCCATTGCTTGATGAAGAATATAAAGAAAAAGGGACTGTACGACTTGGCGTATATAATTATTACATAAAAGCTGTTGGTCGTTATCTGGCAATTTCAATAGCTCTTTCTATGTTTCTAATGCAAAGTTCTAAGAATGTTACGGATTTATGGCTTTCTTATTGGGTTACTCATGTCAATACAACAGCAACTAATACTACAAATCACTCAACGCCTGTACAATTGCAATATTTCCTTGATGGCTATAATAATCCGACCACTGGTTATTATTTAACAGTATATGCTCTATTAGTTTTCTTCAACACAATTTTCACGTTAATGAGGGCATTTATGTTTGCGTATGGTGGAATCCAAGCTGCTATTACTATACATAAACAACTATTGAAGGTTGTTATACGGGTGTGTAACATTTAGCACATATGAATACTTAATGCGTTTATGTTAAAATAATGTAGCATATATTTTCAGGCTAAAGCTGTATTCTTTGAGATTCAACCATTTGGTAGAATTTTAAATAGATTCTCATCCGACACGTACACGATTGATGACAGTCTTCCCTTTATTGCTAATATATTATTCGCACAACTATTTGGCTTGTTTGCAACAATTATTGTCACAACTTATGGATTACCATGGATACTTTTAGTACTAGCTCCGCTTATACCAATTTATCATTGGATTCAAAACCATTATAGGTGTGTACCTCCTTACATCTTCAATTTTCAAATAAATATATCATTCTATAAATATCTTTCAGATTAACATCAAGAGAATTGAAGCGTTTATCCAGTACTGCCTTGTCACCATTGTATGCACACTTTAATGAAACTTTGCACGGATTATCTACTATCAGAGCATTTCGCACTGTGTCTCGTTTCAAACAAGAAAATGAACTTTTGTTAGAAGTCAGTCAAAAAACACAATTTGCATCTTTTGCAGTTGGCCAGTGGCTCGCGTTAAGACTTCAACTCATCGGAGTGGCACTTCTAGCAGGAGTGAGCACTATTGCAATTTTACAACATCAGTATGACATAGCTGATCCTGGTTTGATAGGTCTTGTTGTTACCTACACATTATCTATAACTGGTTTACTGTCTGGTGTTGTAAACGCATTTACCGAGACAGAAAGGGAAATGATCGCTGTCGAACGCGTGAAACAATATGTGGAGACTGTTCCAGTAGAAACGATAAAAGGAGATAATCCACCATATGCTTGGCCAAGTCAGGGTGTAGTTGAATTCAAGGAAGTCGTTTTGAAATACAGGTAATTGAAATGATTTTATTAGAAGCTGAATTGAATGTAATTGAATATCTAATATCTTATAGGGAACATTTGGTACCATCTTTGAACGGTGTATCATTCGTCACACGACCAGCAGAAAAAATTGGGATCGTTGGGCGTACAGGTGCTGGAAAGAGTTCACTCTTTGCTTCCTTGTTTAGAATGACAGAAATAACTTCTGGAAGTGTACTGATAGATAATGTTAATATACAAACTCTACAGTTACACGCGCTAAGGTAATATTTCTTAATAGTTTCAATTAATTAGGACATATTGTGCTGAATGTGAATCGTTTCAGATCACGATTAGCCATTATACCCCAAAATCCATTCCTCTTTTCGGGAACTGTCAGAGAAAATCTTGATCCACTAAATCAGTATCCAGATTTGCATATATACAAAGCACTGGAGAGGTGTAAGGTACATACGTTAGTGTATCGTCTGGGAGGACTTGGTGCTACTTTAGATGAAAACGGTAGCAATCTTAGCGCAGGACAGAGGCAATTGTTTTGCTTGGTTAGAGCAGTTTTACACAATGCCAAGGTATGGTCACTTTTGTTCAGAGTATTTTCAAAAAATGTTAAACTTTAAATTCTGCTTTGTAGATTGTCTGTATCGATGAAGCTACGGCTAACGTTGACCAGGAAACAGACAAATTTATTCAAACGACGATAAAGTCTTCCTTTCAGACTGCCACGGTTCTCACTATAGCGCATAGAATAAGGACGATCATGCACTGTGATAGGTATGGCAATTTTATTTATAAATTTCCATCGCGTATATTTGATGCGCGCTTTCGTTTTAGGATTCTTGTAATGGGCGACGGAGAAGTCCTAGAGTTTGACGAACCAAACTTGTTAATTCAGAATGCTGATTCTTATTTTTATCAGTTAGCGAATCAAGAATTTTCCAATAAGGAATAATATGTTTTCTGATCAGAAAGTATATTATAGCGTAAAGAAGCTGTATTATAAATCATGATTATTTTCATATGAAACTAGATTTATATTTTAATCTATAAGTATACCGCGATGATTTAGTAAATATTTCACGAGATTGTGATAAAATACAATACTATTATTTATTTATTTTACAGTTAAGTTACATTGTATAAGTCCGACTACCTCTATGTAAGTTCTTATACTGCCGGTAATACACGTGATAATTCATCGAACTCTATGTATCCTTTTTTATAACGATCTAGATTCTTGAATATCATTTGCCATACGGTTGATGGTACCATCAGATCAACAGATTTGCTTGCAGAATAGAAGTCATCCAAAATTAAATACCCTTTATCTAAAAATGTCCAAAATTACTATCAACTTGTTACACTTAATCTCACAAGTAGTATCTACATACAATGCTTATCTAACAGAGCAAATATTATTTCCGCGTTAATCTGCAAGTCACTGGTGAGACATTTTTTAAATATCCATCTTTCATACTCTTCATAAGAGACTCTATCAGTGGATTGAAAAACTTGTTTTACCTCCACCTAAAGTATGAACACTATTTTATAAACACTAATTGTTTCTTTTTCTTTCTTTCAAAGGGTTTACTTTATCCGGACGATATCCGAACACAGCCGCCATCGCTATTTTGTATTGTTGTTTGGTCAACGAACCCATGGAGTCTACGTCAGCGTAATCGAAAGCCTATGGCGTACAGAAAGCTTTGAGTCTCTTACAAGATTTTTCACATGGTCCCATTCGACTTTACCGTTCTGGCACGTTCCTTGTACACGCTTGGCGTCATCTCGCCCTCTGAATTCAGCTGGAAGGAAATTTCCTTGAACGACTTTACAAATGATGCGATTCGCAATGAAAGCAAGGTGTTGCAGGTCGCGTGACGCGAGAGATTGGTCTTTCACGCGAGTAACTCGACCGACACGCATTATATCGTAATTAAAGCGGTGCCTCTCCATTCAGCCGGCAGTATTTTGTAATATTCATCACGGAGCCAATTAACGCCGCCGCGGGACACATAGGTACACGCGTCTCAATGACATAACGTGTCTGCTGTATCCGGCATTCATTCGTCACATATTCGCGGACCCCTGTCATCGTTCTCCACCGCTGAAAACTAATGAGCTGTAACTCCGTCTGATTTTACTCGCTGTTTTTTTAATTACCCGCCATTTAAACTCGTTTATTACCGTCGCACGCGTGCGACAGAGGAGACGCGATATGAATTTTCTCACGCGTGTACCTACGTTTACTAATGATGTTCGTCGCGCCTGCAACGATGATTTAATCCAACTTACTAAATAGTTTTAGTCGACGAAACGATTAGTATTTCGACTTCAATCAGAATTTCACGGCAAACTAAACGACGGGGTTCGCGATGCTTTTCTGTCATCAGCTTTCCTCCGAATTTCGTTTCGAGGTTTCTGACTCTACGAAAGCGACGAATTAAGTAATTTTCATAATTTCTCGTCTGGTCGCAATTCTCAGGGCGACGCGACAAGCACAGATGGGGATCTGGCGCGGCACTGTTTTTCTTTTTCTTCATTCCCTTTGTGGAAGCGGCGAGAAGCCGCCTTTGAAACATGTGTGCTTCCGGCGTAAAGCACAGGCAATCTCGAGTGAAAAGCAGAGACTTACGGCGGCGTTATGTCATCGGCCGATACACTCCGACAGACCATAAAACGCGAAGGCAAGAAAACGTTATACTCCCGTCGTAAAGAATAAGTTTGCGGTATGGATATTTCTGTCCGTGTGAAATATGGGTTCGCGTCACGAACATTTGCTAGACAACAGTGCAAAGATCACCTAGAGAGCTTTCTCATTATTGCATGTCCTACTCTGAAAAAGATACTTTTCAAGATAAACGGTAACTACATATATATCTTTTTTAATTATACACTAAATTACTATATTTAATAATTTCCTAAATTTTTTATTCACAGTTCAAGTACACGTTAATTTGAAGCCTGTTACGTGTGGATTCCGCTTCGACATCGATCGGTCAATAAAAAAAGAAAGAAACGAGAGTTTCGAAATACTCTCAGCCGAAGCATTGCATTTTCCGTCGGTAGAGGAGGAATTTCTCGAGGGCTCGCGTGCACGGATTTTCTTAAAAAGAGGATTAAACGCACGGCGTGGAATATTTGAAATTTCATCTTGGATGTAGCTCGCCCCGTGACACAGCCGGTACGCAGCCCTTCGCTCTTGCGCGTCTCGGTGGCCACTCGAGGCTTGAAGCACAGTCACTAGCGTAGGGGGCTTGCCGGCTACCCCAAAAGTGCACCTATCAAGGGTTGGTTTCAACGAGCATACAACCCTAGAGACCCTTGCTATCGCGGAGACTGGTACGCGCCGCCCTTTGGAAACTAGTTCGCCGTTTGTTATTGAAGTCTTGGACGCAATTTCCTCGCGATAACGTGTCAGCCTCGAGTTAGATCCGATGGAAAATATGTATATTCCCAGGTTAATTTACCTGGATACCATTGCAATTTCTCATCATTTAGATTTACATACTTATATATGTTAATGAACCGTGCGTTGAATATTATCAGGATTTACATAATTTTATTAATGTATAAAAATGGGACGCTGGATAATTTTACTACTCCATGATGGTGAAGGGTGTCTAGGCTTTCGTTCACCCTTGAAGTTACGCAGAAAATATGCCAATGTTGTTTGAACGAGGGGTTCCGGGGTGGATAAGGGACGCAGGTGGTGGCGCATGATTGCCAGCGAACACTATGAAAAAAACGTTAACTAGCGATCGCACGCCCCCGTTGAACGGTTTTTCGCGCTAGGAGAGGCGGTGAAACGCATAGCTGCCTAGCGGGTTTGCAGGATGTCAAGCGGGCGGGCTGATTATATGGCAACGGACCATATATTTGCATTAGGCCGCGAGTCACCATAACTCATTACCTCGACAATTCTCTCTTTCGTCAACCGTCGGTCGCATAAATCACAATTTGCCCTAGTGGCTCGCAGGTGGACACGGCTAGCGGGATACGAATCCAGAAAATCCACCGTGTAAAAGCAAAACGATAGTCAGCGGCGCGGTTTAAATTGACTCAGACGTTTTATCTCTGTCCCATGGTAATTACCGGGCCGTGATAACGATTATTCAACTTTGCAACGGTTCGAATTTAACCGTCATTTATTATCGGAGTTACGTGTACTTTTTGGCGGACGTCTAACAAAGAGATGAGAAAAGATTTTGACGTGTCGCGTTGACGGAACACCGGCCGTGTTTGTGGAACAATGTCCCCGCGGTATTACTAGAAATAAAAAAACCAGATAGACGTGTGTCACCAGACGAATGTAACGTCTCTCATATTTCCATTAAGTAAGGCAAGACACAGGACGGGTAACGGATACCAACGCGAACGAGCACCAGCTTTTACCGTGATTAGTGCAGGATGCAATGGGATGACTGGTGTAGGGTTAACGTTGATGCGTGGAAACCTTCCTTCTTGTACATATTCCACGCATATACAATAGTATAAATGCGTTTGCGATATTACGCTCTCTTTCGCATGGCCAGGGACTTCGAACTCTAGCTTCGTTCGTATCGGTTACCCGCCTCGGGGGAGAGAACTTCCGCTTCCCTCGCAAAATGTCTTCTCTATCATCTCGTTTCTTCCCGTCGTCGCACGCGTCGAATAAATGAAATCTTTTTCCCCGTTTCGGTTCTCGTCCGGTTCGTCACGAGGAGCGTTCTTAATAACGCGTTCGTGTTTCTTCAATAGAGAGGAGCTGGGTTTTCGAAGCGTGCCCACCCCAATCCGCGAGCTGTTTCGCACGCGTAAAACCCTTATCGCCTGTCTCACGTTAGTATTATTACACTTTTCGCGAGAAACGAAGGGAGAAGAAGAAGAAGAAAGAAAGAAACGTAACTTCTGAATTTCCGTCAAGGATCGTCGAGACGAGGTTTCGATATGAAACCTTCTCTATACGTGTGCGTTTTCCGTCGCGACACAGCCTACTCGCATTATACGGTCTGTCGCGACGAGAAATAGCAGAGACACGAAGGTGAGACGGGGTCTTCAACATTTACTTCTGTTCCGTAGAATCATTACTACCGTCCCGAGCTAAGCGAAGCGTGCGGACGCCTGTTGACTGCAGCCGTTGATGCGTTAAAGGGGCGAGAAGATAAGTTTTTTTTTCGCGAATTATGAAGGCGCTCATTCATTACGTGTCCCGTAATTGACGGGTTGAGAGGAGGAGGAGGAGGAGGAAGAGGATAGGAGACGTGTCTACCGTCAACAACGTTCTCTTCCCGTCCGGATCTTATCTATCGCTAATAATAATCATTGGCGCAATTGAGTTATATTTCTTTTATAAAAAATAAAATTTCACGAACAATCGTTAAGCCGATGATGATTCTTTTGAAAAATATCGTTAATCAACGAACCAAGAGCGGAGAGATCATTTGGGGTAATTGGAATGGGAGAGAGGGAGGAAAAGTGTATTGGCGTGGCAAATGTTGCCAGAGTCGGATTCGATTTCGTAATTCATTAGCATAGAATTTCCGGACAGCTATGCTTTGTTCGTTCGACATTATAATAATTTAGCCGGGTACTATCCGGCTGCGGAGGGAAGGAGGGATCGCGATTGGCTTTGCCTGCACAATTGGCTTTCACCTGATGCGAAATAGATGCAGCTACGAGAGGATGGAATTCGTATCCCGCCAAATACGATGCACAGGTAGTATGTAATTGAATTTCTCCCTTCGTATAATCGTCATGTGTGGTTTACAGTAAAAAGTTCAACATACAGGGTGATACGAAAATAGGTAGCCAAATGTACTCTTAAGGATGAAAAATGGTTGTATAAATATCAATCTGGAAACGGTATGATGATTCAGAATCATAAGTGATGTTTCGCACGTGTCAGCTAATGTGATAATTACTAAAGATACGTGTGCAGTATAAATTCTACGTCAAATAATAATTTATTACGTGTTCACTGTACAGAAATACTGTTTTATTTGGAATGTACCTATATCAGCCGGCGTACATCTGCGCAATTATTAAACAGAGATAAATGGAGATCGGGCGTTTAATAAGCGCTTATATTTACAAACTGCAGTGGAAAATTTCAGTACGTTAACTTGTAATTACAGTAAAAATAATTAATACAGCGAAACGTCCATTAAAAAGAGTTAACCATGTGTTCAGTTCAATTTTATCCCTTTTACTTTACACGGTATTTTGCCCTTTGGTAAGCGTTCGAAAAGCCTTGACGGGCTTCGTTTCGTGCACTGATTACAATCGCCATGCTACAATGTTATCCCTTTACCTAAAGGGCCCACTAATTAAAAGCCGGGTTAAAGTCGATCGATCTTTCGCGCGACGTTCTTGAAACAGTATATCCGTTTCCTCGATTCCACGTATACCGAATGAAGCATGTACATACGGTGGTTTCAAGCGTCGACAGGGGGCTTCTTTCTCAAGCAAACACTTACTCGTTTACAGAACACCCTTTCCTTCTCCTCTTTTAATCTTTCCTAGCCTCCTCGCCGTATCTTGTTTCACCTCGTTCACCCTACGCTAACGTTTCGTGTTAAATGAGAGCTGACAAAAACACGTGTAACTTTCAATTGGCTGAGCAGTCGCTCGAAGATTCTCAACGGGGTTCCTTAATTGGGTTAAATAAATTCGGCTGGGTACCATGTGTGTACACAGGGAAACGATCACCGTCTTCGTGTGAGTTCACACGATAAGCCTTTGGACAGGCATCGTTGCTCGGACCAACGGTAAGACGAACCTTGGGGCGTGTTCGTGTTGTTGCAAAGGGTTGAAATTGAACGGGGGTGCGCGCCCACGTCTAGGAATTCGATAAATGAACCGCTCGAAAATTTATTTACCAAAGCCGCTCGATTTTGCACGTGATATTGAGTGGGCGACGGTGAAGCAGATGTCAAAATAGCTGTAAATTGAATCCGAGACGATATTTTCGATCCCGTTAATGCAACGAGGCCCGTATTGAACCCTCCTTGGTATCGGCGATGGCAACAGGCTGTCACGATGAAAAAGAAAAAGGAAGAAAAAACGATGCAACGACGAAAGGGAAGCGAGCGACCGTCTGGTTGACGGAGTTTCCTCTCGAAACCAAGGACTCCCCGTTTTAATGGAATAAAGAGCGCTCTCCTCCCGTGGGATCTCGCTTGTAAACGATATTATTACGAGGTCGTGTTAAAATATTGCGACGTTCACGTGGCGGCACGAGGATGTTGCATTTAGTTCGATGATACGGAAAAGGATAGAAGGGATGTTTTGGTCTTTCGTCGAACGCAATCTCTTTCGTCAACCGAAGCGATGCACCGCGTCTGCGTGCATAAAAAGCGACACACGCAACGAGGGAGGAGTGTCGTGAAACGCATGCTATGGTGTACACGATCGTTTTAACACTTTGACGGTCGCAAGCTTCGGTGGATTTACGACCTCTATAATTATATTTAATTGTTTATATTTAAAGAGAATATCTTTTATAATATATTATCTGAAAGTTGAAAGTTCACTAAAAACGTCCATTAGCAAATATCCAATTTCAGATGTTTTTCCATTGCTACGTAGCACCACCTCCCATATCGACGAAAAATGTAATTGATTTCAAGCATCGTTGTCAATCCGTGATTACCATCCATCCAAACCTCACCATTTTGAGTGATGTCCACGGGGAACAAGAAAGCTTTCAAAAAGATCAAGAAAATCACCGAGAAGGATAAACGTATGGCACAATTAGAAAAGGAGATCGCGAGACTGGAACAGGAGAATGGTAAATTAAAACGCGACAGCGTGGAATATAAGAATCGTCTAGCTGCCTTCGACGGTACGACCCGTTTCGATCCGGACTTTTCCAAATTGAATCCCAGACCGCAGTCTGTCGTGGGCAATCGGTTTACACCTAAATCCCGTGAAAATTTCGAGGCTGCCTCCCCTTCGAAGAACGTCGCGGGTAATGGAATTTTCAAGAAGAAACTACGCGGAAAGACGATAAAGAATTTGAAGAAAACCGAGTTTAAGTGACAACGGGAAGCGTCTTGTTCTCCGTGGACTCGCTCTACGTAAAAATTCCAAAGAAGAAACCGTGCACCATATTCATATGAAACGCCATTTTGAATAGCGGATACGTTCAGACGATGGACGTTCAGTTCAGCCATCAAACATCGTAACCATGCGTCAAATTTAAATCAGAAGAACTGAAATTTCTAAATTGAAGGGACCAGGAAGGCGATGACAACAAATGGAGAGATAATATCTTGCCCAGGAAAGCAAGTGATCAAGAAGTGCGTTCGTGAAGTGCCAGTGCCCTGTCCTCAAGTGCAATGTAAGAGAAAGCAAGATGTCTCGTGTCCAGGAATGCAAATACAATGCAGGAGACGTCCTGAGAAGGAAACTGGATGCAGGAGGCCTCCAAAGTGTGTGAAGCGTCCTCAGAAGTTCATCGAAATATGTCCAGCAGGAAACGTGCACTCAACGTCCGCGAACGGGTGTCCGAAATGCGAAGAAAATCGAATCCAAAAATTAGAATGCGAAGTGGGATATAATATTCGTTTGAATTGACCGGTTGACTGACTTCTTTGCGAATCCCACCGTCGATTCGGTGAAACGTTTCCGTTGAACCGTGCAAAACGTAACCGATTGTGAATCGTTTATTAACCATTATTGTCGATCAGTCAATCGGTCGAATGGAGCTGGGTATATCTGTTAAAATATAACGTCCGTAGGTGTTCGAGTTGCGACGGGAGATAGAGCACATGAAACACGAGCGGAAGGAAGCTGATAAAGCGTTGCAAAAGGCTATTCTTCGTGGCGCGTGTGCTCTCAGTGGAGGATACAAAACGCACGTGCCAGAATCGGTCGAAAAGCTTCTGAACAGTTGCGACAGTAACGTCTCGACTTCATCGTCGTATTCGGTCACGTTATGCTCCACGAAACCCCCGAGTGCAAGCTGCGGTAGACCGAAGAAGAGGCATGAATTCGCTTGTTGCCTCGACTAACCACGTCCCACGTATTACTTTCGAATTTTAATTTCAACCCCGGCAACGTTTGCAATAAAAACAAAAACCGAATACTGTACATTCAATATTGATTGTAATTAATTACTCTGACGAGCGTATGAATGTAAAATAAACGACGAATGAAACGTCAGGATGTCGTTGTCGCGGGCCAGACGGTTTTATCGCGTGGTAATAATTTCCTACAGTGTTACGCGTTAATTAATAAACGGGCAAGAGCGACGAGTGGACCTGGCGTCGATTTAATTACACGTAACCGTACGTGTACACGTGTTAACATACGCACTAACCGTGTTCTACTCGCGTAGAGTTGGCGCGGCTTCGCCATCAAAATGGCATCGTTAACATCGATAAATATTTTCTGAAACGAGGCTGAACCTACTCGAGTTAAAGGAAACGCCTGGGAAGCCTGGCCGTGTGCCTCGTTACACAAAGTGCAACGATACGTATATAATTAACGGAATAATAAGGAAACGTGTATATTATATTTATCGGAGGGACTCGTTAGGGTTTCGAACGATTTACAAAATCTCTCTGCGACAACAATGACGCGCGATCGGATTAATCGTGTAGCGGGACGGTATCGTTGTATAAATTATAGAGAATTAATGATACGACGTGAAACATTACGGTTAAACGTTATATCTGGCGGCGATGAATCGAAGTAAATTGTTCGTTGTTTATCGGCAACGATGCAGCGTCATTGTATTTGTCGACGGTGATTATCGACGATGAGTTTTGATATTCAATCCGTAAATGCGATGATGGACCGAATGTATCATGGTTCGTCGTTCGATACTGATCGCTTTCCAATGATCCCCGAAAAAGCGTGGATAAACGAACGGATACCGTTTATAAAGTTCCATGGAAAATACACGTTCCACCCTACGATCTAGGGGAGGGAGAAATCGGGCTAATCTGTTACGCGTGAAATTTTCAATCGACGATTCCGGTGACAAACCAAAAGCTCGACAGAGAGAGAGGAAAAATAACGAGGAAAGGACACAGAAGGAGCTTTTGGTTAATTCGTGGAAAAATGAAAACACTGGTTTCGATGGTGGATGAAAATAACAGTCGCGAGAGCGGTATAAACCATAAAATTGGCTCTCTATTTGAGCAAACAATCGGGGTGCGGTCGATAAGATCCGTTTTGCGTTAGTTGACCAGAACGAGGTAGTAAAACCTGTCGCGGCTCGGTCGTGGAGGGTCGTATTGTAAATTGATAGCGATAAAATCTGCTCATCTCTCGGTTTATTCGGCGAGTCGAGTACCACCGGCTCTGTCCGTGGTATTATGCAGCGTGTACCAGCGAAATGGCAAGATTATTTTAAGGCGTATCTCGTTCTTACACGATTTCGTCTGCCTCCTCTCAACTTCTTCTTCTTCTTCTTCTTCTGTCTCGGTAGAGTTTTTCACGTTTAAACGTGGAAGTATAAGTTAGGCCTCTCGTGGAAACAGGTACTCCTCTGACCGGCCGAGAAAAGCAAGCAGGAAGAAAGAAAGAAAGAAAGAAAGAAAGAAGCGAGTGTCTGCTGATGGTTCCTTTGCGATATCGTTCTTGGCAAATATTAGGTAGTTCCGTCGACTGGAAGACGGTCCAATGTTTTCATTTAATATCCTGTGAATGTCGAGCTGACTCGCAACCGGCATTCAGGGAAAAGATTGCGAGAGCCATTTCCCGTGACTAGTGAGCGATGTCGTCTTTGAGATAAAGCAGCCTGAACTTTCTTCTCCCTGTATAAGACGCGGGCCGGACAAGACGCGTCCTACGAGTTAAAAGGGTTGTTGCGTCTTACCTTCTGTTACTTTTTTAATTGCAACGAATTCAGAGCGAAGAGTCGTTGCATTTTCCTCTCGGCTTGTTATTATTATCGTTATTTGAACGGGATAGAAAGCTGCGTACCGCAGTTAGCTACACGAAAAACCAGGGTATACGTCGGACGCGATAAATTAACAACGATCGCCAGGATGATATCGCTAATTGAAGTTTATCGCGACGACCTTATCTATGAGAGTTGCTCGTTTGAAAGCGCGTTTGAATGGCAGCAACAGAAATTGGACGGGGCCGCGTTGGAAAGCGCACTAATTCAGATCAAATGCCATGAATTCCAGCCTCCTCTATCAAAACCGAGAGAGCGCGCGCGTTAACGGATTCGCCACGTGTTAACGCGGTATCGCGATAAACGCGTGATAATGATGATTAAAGACGAGGAAACACAGACGTCTGTACGAGGGAAAAACGACCGCGATGGAAATCGGTTTCTCATTAACGATAAAATATTTCCACGATGAGATTGAAACGTCGACTGGGCGGGGTAAAAACGATTGAAACACAGTCTCGTCGAGATACGTATTTCCACGGTATAATAACGTCCAAAGGAAATCACGTGCCAGGATGGATCGAGTTTGTAATAATTCCTGTTTCACGATAAAGTTTCGCGATCGTCGAGCCGTTTCGCTTCAAAGCGGAACTCCACGGGAAAGAGGATGTTTGATGGTAAAAAAAGGAATCTGATCGTCGATGCGGCGATGAAGGTAAAAGCGAAGTAAATATCCGTTAATAGTTCATTATTAAAATAAGAGAGGCAGACGAGTGGTTAGACCGATTGTGGCTAAAAGTGTATCCAGTCTGATGGATAATCGAACGTAAACCAATGAAACACGAAGCGTAATAAGCTTACTCTCTTTTCTTTTCTTTTCCTCATTACTTTCTTTATTGATATCTCGGTCAGAAGTTTCAGTGTTTTATCCCGTTCCTTAACGAAGGGATTAGAAGCTTTGCCTTATACTCAATAAGCTCACGGATTAACGCGATTACACGATGATTAAAAATAGATCGACTGGAGGATTCAATTTATGCGAAATCAGCCTCGTTCCGAATGCGATCTATGCGAAACGAGACAGTTAAGGAGAAATGACAAATTCGTGTTTACGAGGGTATAATGTCTCAGACACGCCTGTTGGATCAGAGCCAGGAGCTACAGCTGTATTCGGACATGGTGATTCGATCGTGGTAACATTTAGCTATCCGCTAGACACCAGGAGCGAGTTAATTAAGCGTCCGTTCGTTTTTCCTTTTCGTTCTCTCGAGCATGCCAAAACTTTTCTCCTTGTCCCGTGAATTTCACGCGATTTCGTAAACCTGGCACCGACCGAAATGGATTAAAACGAGCGTTGATAGTGGACAATAAAACGAACGGATTTAAAACGTCGATTGTCGTAAAGTATCAATCGCGGAACGATCAAAGTTAAAAGTGGTTGATTTACAAAAATAGCAGGTGACGGCAGAGGATAGGAATGGCTCTCTGTTACGACGGTAGCGAAACAGCTGAATTACAGGTGAAATACGGTCTGGTTAAAAGGGATTCTCGCCGTTCGTATACGCTCAGCACTTTTAAATTTAACCTGTAATCGTTTCTTTCGTATGCAGAGGTATTCCACCTGTCGCGGACTTTATTGTCATCCAGCTTGTATTTTCCTCGCCCGAGCAATACGAATTGTCGCGTTCGCGCACGGCCAGCGGTAGATTATCCTCAACGGTGCAGCAATTCTTGCAGCCTGACACGGTGTAATATTTCAACGCCGTCTTGACAATATTTTTCACCGTTCCCGGCCACCGCGGTGGGTATATCACGAGAGAAGGAAATATCAACGGATGACTGTAACCTTATGTGCCGTTCTGACATGATTGCTGGAAGATCGCGATAGCGTCGCGCCGTGCCACGTTGAACTTCACCGTTAACCTATGTTAACTTTCTTCCTGGAAAAATCATGATCGCGACCGTTATCAAACGGGGCGTTGCTCGACGTGTCTAATGTTGTTGGATACCCGTAACAGCAAGTCCATTTATCGCCAACTCGATCCGTGGAAGATAATAAAAAGGCTCGATCAATTAACGATGTCTTTGAATGAAACGTTTGAAATTTGTATTCCATTCAGCGGGGAAAAAATCACGAAACAGATAAGGAATGGGGTACCTGGCAAGATGTAGTCGTCAGGCGCGTTCCTGATTGCGCGACACGCAGGGGATCCTTCTTTCAGGTTTCTCGAAAAGAAAAAAAAAGAACGACGACCCTTGCAAGAACGGAAAAGCCATCAGCGCTGATAAATAAAATGTTAGCGCTGCACCCGTCGCACCGACTGTCTGCTCTGGCGCGTATTCTTATTAAACGCGCCTGTATACGTATATGCATGTACACTTGAACCCCCTGCTTTTCGCCTGGGGTGCGTCAGGGGGTGTGTGGACGATGTGGCTCGGTGAAGCACACGTATACAACACGCGTACACTGATCCAGCCACCCTGAATCTCTCTCCTGCCGCTACCACCATCCCTGCTACCGGTGAAACGCGTACACTCCAACCAAACAAAGGCGACCTGCGCTACCCCGCAACCCCTTACCAACCTCGTCCGCCAGCTTTGAACCTCTCTTACGCAATGCTCCGACTTATGTCTACCTATACTGGGATTGATCGAGCTTACACGACCCCGTAAACGCATAACCCTTTCGAGTGGGAAGGAAAATTAGCGAAACGAACGCCATTCGGCCTTCTCGTTTCGTCCTTCGTTCGTCGCGTTCAGTAGAAACGATTAGGGACCCGTATGTCCTACTTATAACAATAGTCTTTGTACGATTTATATAAAGCATGAAAGGGTTAAAGGTGACACAGTTTGCAAGACAATTTTTTTTCATTGTCACGATTTAACGAGAAAGAATCTATTTTTTCACTCTACCCAAGCAAAAAGCTTCTGGAAATCGTCGCCGTCTTGCACAGCATCACAATAGCGAAATCGTGTTCTTGTTCGTTGCGGAGGCGTTGACATTTCCAGGCGACACCTTTTTCAGACGTCGCCCAGAGGAAAGAGGTAGGAAGGTTCTTTTTCTTCTTTAGCAAGAAGAATCGCGACGTCGACGCTCCGACGCATCGTTTGCACCTTCAATAATACGTTGAGTGCGCTCGCGAAGCCGATGCCAATGGCCAGCAAGTCCCCCGTCCTGCCGCGACATTTTTTTCTTCCGCATCGTTATACCGGACGGGACAAAGACTTTCGTTGACGGATTTTCTTTTAAACACGCCATCCCTCGTCGTTCACTAGGGCAAAGTGAACCACCGTCCGTAATTATTGTCCCGCATTCGAGGTGAGCGCGATATCGTGTAAATTCGTCCGAGTTTACAACCACGGAATATGGAAACTTATCGTCATTAATGACAGGTCGCGAATGTGTACGGTACCGGTATTCCTTTCGACCCGCACCCTTCTCGACGTTAAAGCGGTAAGAAACCGTGACACAGCGGAGCAGGGTTTATTATATGGAATGCAGGATGAAGTGGTGCATAATTTATACGAGAGAGAAACTCGACTCGATCTTTATGATTGAATCGTTCGCTTCTCAGCTGGTTTTTTCAGCACGCGTGCGCTTAATTGCAACCCCTAATGCTTTGGTTCTCGTTAGAAACTATGCATTAAGCTGGTTGCAGTTTCATTTTTCCGCTTCAGTAAAATGACTGCGCTATTCGCGTTCTAACGAGATAAAAAAATAATTTTTCACCGGACCCCTGACATTATAAATGAATCTTTTTAATTTTTCACCTTTTATCTTCGTGCCTCAAAATGAGTTTCTGTCTCGGGTTAACAAAACAATTTTATTTCTCCGCGCTCTCGGACACCGTGTTTCCTTCGGATCCCGGCGCGACCAAAGCAGCGGGATGACAACTGGACAATCCCCGTAACGAAACTCGTTTAAACGCGCCGTGACTTGATGCACGAACCCGTGAATGTATTCACGCTCGCAAGCGACGCATCGAGAATGCTTGGATACAGGAACGATGAAAAATCGAAGAATCGTGTGCGCGCGGTTTAGCCGACAGGGAACGAAACGAATCGCGATGAAAAAGAAAAGAAAAATCGGCACGAGGAAGGAATCTTTTGTGAACGACCTCGTATGCTGGATGGTTCGCGATGTTCCTCCTTGCATCCGTCGCGCGTCGAACTTTAATTGATTCCCACTATAGCGCGTTAACGAGGTTCGTATGATATACAGGCGTATTGCCAGAGGATCGCAAGAGTTTCTAATTCTGTATCCTTTTCTTCCCTAGCCTGGCATTACCTTCTTGAACTTGGGTGTTTCTGCCTCGGGGCGAGGAAAACAAGTGGCACGATACGTTCCGCTGCCCGTAAACACGAGAAAATGATTGTAAATCGGGGTAAAAGATGTCGGTAACAATATAACGCCAGATTTCTCGTTGTTTACCGTTCGCGAATGCTCGTTGAAAAACTGACGTCGTCTGTTCGTTAGCAAGAAATGTTTTTTCAATTACTTTCTCCACGAGCTCTTGTTCGCTTATCGTTGCATCGAGACGTTAACGTCGTGTTTCGAAAATGACGAAGGGGAATTTCTTTCGATGGCCGGATGGCTTCGGGCTTCGAACAAGATCCGTTTAATATCGAGACAGGGGTGTGGATCGATCGAAAATCGATCGCGTGGGCGCGAAACAAGATCAATGTTAAAAAAAAAATACAGTGTGCATACAGAAAGACAGAAGATGCGAAACAATAGCCGGCGAAATGGGAAGGGGTAAGATGCGGGGTCGCAGAATGCAGACTAAAGGTGCCAGATATAACGTGATGTATGGGATCGATTTGAATCCAGCGTTTAAGAGCTGCGAGCCATAATTCATTCGATCTCGATCGTTTTCTTTTGTGTTCCATCTTTCTACTTCTGTTGGCCTCTCCTTCTTTGGATGGTTCATGTAATACCCCTCAAGGGCACGTTCGATATATACTTAGGTACATTCGTGCTACTCTGATACTACCTGGTGCATCGTATAATGTATACGCGTATCACGAATCGTTGATGCCTTAAACTTCTCGTTTGCACCGTATTTTCATTGATGGAGATATATGGAAGCGTTCTTTGCCTCCTACGCGAAACAGATTCACGGCTATCTTTGCATTCAGGATATTTTCGAGGCTGTAAATCATTTACCAATTCTAAAATTGAAGTGTACAAGATTCAATTTAACTCAGGTTTTAAAATTTAGCCAGAGGCTAAAAGTGACCTGAAATCGACACGCCGAACCGACTCTTGGAGGGTTCGTCTATTAAAATTGCAACCAACGATACGAGTGTAAAATTGCTCCAATTTTAAATAACACGCAAATTCATTAGGGATTCAAAGAGGGTAGCAATAAGAAGACGCGCGTTTGAAGATGCGTTACACGCTCGGTGACACTCAAGCCTCGTATCGCACACGTATTCGCCTTTATGCAGGAACGTACATACGTGTAAGTACGTGTGTCGAGTTGTCTGGGTCGGGGCACATAAGAGACGAAGAGCCGACGACGTTGAGAGAGGGATTCCGAGGGTAGAGCTGTCAGGGTTCCGAAATAAGGTAATTAATATTAATGCAGATATATGCTGATGAACCGTGAAATTCGAATGGATCTCTATTTGTAATCCCGATGTTAATTAAAAATTCTTTCGCTACAAATTAATGTCGATGTCCTTACGGAACACTTGGCGCATCCTTGGAAACGTCTGAACATGTATCGTGTTACAATTGCATATTCATAAGATCATTTATGTTGAAATTGATAATTTAAAAAAAAAAACTCGCGTTTAAAGATTGAGACCTGTCTCTAAATGGTAATCCCTTTAAAACTGGTGAATCATGTTGCATCTTCCTTTTAAACATTTCCCGCTTAAAATTCAATACCCTGTTAGCCAATCACAGTCTCTGTTACAGCCTCCTAATAAATGGCAAAAGTTACAACCATGATGCTCCGAAGCGAACTCGAGCCACGCAAAAAGCTCGTGCAATTCGAGTCGGTAATCAAGCTAATAATAAACGAGGCAAAAAGAAGGAAAATCTCTCCTTCTGTTTATAGGAATATTATCATGTCCAAGGACACAATGTCCAGCTGGTACATATACATATATACCCACCGATTCTCGGTACGGTGTTTGCGCTTAGCGGAGTAGGGACTGACTCCTCGATAGTGTGGCACAGGGGATTTCGAGTTCAAGAGAAAGAGAAAAAGGACGAAACGAGTGGAGAAAGGGGGAAGGACATAACGAAAGAAAGAGATAGAAATAACGAGAAAGGGAGACATGGGGTCCCGTCGTTTCTGCAGAAGAAGACGACGAGTAGAATGAGCGAGGGTGGGGGGGAGTCGGAACGGGAACCGCGCGGGCAGTGCACGCGCAGCCGCCGGGACGCGCGCATCCCGTGTGCATTCGCGCTCTTCCAAACGCCGCAGGAGGAGCCCGCGAAATCTCGATTAACGGCGGCACTGTGCAACGTGCCTCGCGACAGTGATCACGACGCGATACATATTCGAATCGTTTTATATCTTTCTTTAATTTGTTCATTGATTTGTATTCGAAAACGCGAACGCGTGAAAATGACGGAAACGAACGGCGAAGGCGACCGTAGCGACACGAAGTCGACGACGACGAAGTACGAAACCGGCCGATATTTGACGAACTTCACGTACGTCGAGCGCGGCAATCGTGACAGGATAATCGGAGTAGTGTTCGTTTAATCGCGTCCTATTATCAACGAATTCGTAGAATCTTTGAAAGGAAACAATTCTCTGAGAAGAATCGTACCTTAAGAGGATTTCGTCGGCTATTCATCGAGCAAAGGTAAACAAAACCGACGAAGCGCCGGCCGGCCGTCTCGCATTCTTTCGAAGGACGTTCAGTGTGTCGTTTGACGTCGGAGCATTCGGTTGTTGGACGGGATCGTGTCGCGTATAGATATCGAAGTCATCGACGCGTTGTAAAAGCCGGTTTTACCACGTGGTTTTCGTTCTTCCCATGCACTCTGCGAATCGGAGTAAACGTTATTTCGGTCCTCGGTTAATCGTGGCGAGTGAATAATACGCGAGTGTCACCGACGCGACGTCGAGATTATCCTGGTGAAAACTGTCGTTCGCGTTAGAAAGTCGTTCGCGAAAAGAATATTTCGTGGAATTCCGGAGAGTATCGAGAAGTGGAACCGGTTATATCCTGGCATCCGTGGTGGTTCAAGGGTCCACGCCGAAAGAAAGGAGGCGATTCTCGAAGAAAATTTTTATAAAACGAACGCCACGAGTCGACGACGATTCGGTGTTCGGTTTTGCGCGGCAATGACGCGAAAGATGGCGCAACAGGAATTTCACGATTGTGTATAAAATGTGACGACAAAGTGCATTGGAAAACGGAAACGGAGCCGCTTCGTTTTTTCGACAACGATGGGGCAACCAACAGTGATCTTCCTTCGTCACGAATAAGCTGTGTTCCTAACTGCGACTGGTGAGTCTCTTAATTAACAATTTTATAAAATTACAAAATATATCGAAAGCTACTTTCCAAGTGATATAAAATCGATGGGTCAGCCAAGGTCTTTTTAATGATAAGGAGTATCACAAGCACTATTTTTCCTTATAATCTCGTTACACGATTAGAATAGATAACAGATATTTGCAATTTTATGCTTTTACCGTTAAAATAGAGTCGTAGTTAAGTGCGGATAACCGAAAATAAATCTAAAACAAAATTTAACCTAGAAATGCATATAACCTCAACGGTACTGAGGTGGAGGGTTGAAATACTTCTCTTCTTTCACAAGAGCATATCGCAATCGTGTACTTGATCACATTCTCTGTTCTTCTTTAACTTTCCCACTCGGTGATGGTTCTTTCTTCTTCTGTGAAGGGAGTCGGCGAGTAGCGAGAATTAACCTCGAGAGCACAAGGGATTTCGAATCAGTAGCTATTTCCGCTATTGCTGTGGTTGCGCGTGTTCTCTTTGTGTCCCCTCTTGTCGTTCCCTCCTCTTTCCACATCTCGAACGCGATTTTTACATCGAGATACATCGGGAACAATACCAGAGGGGCGGCATTTAATATCCAACCGTGTAATTATTGAACGATAGCGACTAATAGAGCGCACTGTACTCGCGGTGGGAAACGTAAAGGGGACAAAAAAGGGGTAACAAAGGGAGGACGCGAGGGAAATCCGTTCGAGGAAGATGGTACGATGAACTTGTCGCGAATCGCGAAGGGTATTACTCTAATTTCAGCGATGGGTACAGCCTCTTCGTCGTCCATCACCTTCGTTTCTCGCGATCTTTGCGCCGGTCGAAAATAAAAAGGTAACGTCGGCAAACAGAGAGACGAGATGATCTGATGCACTCTCGCGTGTACCAGCCTCGATGGAAAGAGGTACAAGACGAAACAGAGACGAATAGCTTGTTCTCCGCTCGCTTCCTTTCCTTCGGCTTGTCGTGAGATAAGTGCGCGAGAGAGATGAGAGGGTAGGAAAAACAGAATTACCAATTCGCACGTTTCTGCTTAGACGTGTGGTGTACGTTCAAAGAGAACCGCGAGACGTACTGGAATTAGAATCGTTACATTCTATCCGCGAGCTAAGTCTTAAACAACACTTACCGCGCGTACTCCCCAGACTTTCCGTCTCGCTTTGTCACACTTAACACTAATACACTTAACACTTTGACATTTAACAACAGCTAGGCTTCCGGGTGTAAAATGTTCCCTGTTTTTCATCGACATTGTAACAAGTATACTAGTGGAATTAATTCGGGACACTTTTAAATTTTTACTCCAAATTTTATTCAAATTATTTGATATCAATTTAGCATAGCGGAATATACATTTTCTGCACAAATATGAAATAAAGAATATTTTTATTCAAAGTGTCCAGAATTAATTCCACCAGTGTAACTTCGTTAGGTGTCCGAAGGGTGGATCGAGTGAAACTTTCTTAAGTCCTAACAGCATATCTTAGAAATCAGGTTAAATCACGAATGGCAACGAAAAATGGTCAAATATGAACGGGCCACGAGCGACAAGTTTACCGATCGCATGAATGAATAAGCTTAGACGATCGATGCGTGACCGTTTAGCCAAACGAAGGGACCTCGGTGTCCGAACTCCATTACGTATAAAACAATATTAGTTCGGTCGCGTCAATGGTATCGGCTGTTTATAAATAATTATCGTCGGCTAGCGAGGGATAGGTTGGTACAGAGAGACGGATTGGTCGTAGTACGAATAACATTCAGGTGGACGAGCGGTGGAGAGAGGGTGAATTAGATGATGAAGGGGGAAGAGGTCTGTGGCAGGGAGTTTCATTTTGAACGAGCAGCATTCTCTGTGCTCGTCCGGGTCCGATCTAAACGGGCAATATTAGCTATTGACTTTGGCTCATGGGGTTTGTCGATGGGTCGGCCTAAGTGATGGCGTTGGTTCGAACTGTTTGGTACAGGGGAATTTCGATCGTGTCTGAACGACGCGATTGGTCGTTCGCAAGCAGGCGAAAGTTGGCTAATTTTCCTCGTAAATAAAACCGACACACGACTGGGACGATCTCTCATTTTTCCTTCGGCCACCCTCGAATTTTCTCTCACCCTTCGATTTGCCATTACGATCGTCGTTACAGCTGTCGACCTGTCTCGGTTTCGCGTATCCGGCGCCGTTCACCGATGTTTCGTGACCTATCCGCCAAGCTTCCCGTTGGGGTTCACGGACGCTCGTAAAACTTGCCGTCGTGGGTAGGTGCTCGTGCGCGTTTTCATGTTCTTACTCCTAGCAGTTTGTCTCTTTCGAATGGCATCTGGTATAAATGGAAGTTTCTTTCCGAACAGACTTTTGTCCTGGACTTTCGTATTCATCGTATACGCACCGTCAGGGAGATAACTTTGTGCGTTATGGAGAAAAGATTTCGATAAAATCACGCCTCTATCCCTCTTACATTTATTTAGTCGCGAATCAACGATTGGGGGAGTGATACCAGTATAATCGTCTAATAGTTTTAGAGATGGCTCGAATTTCAATTTCTAATCAATTCGAATTGAAAGCTCGCAAGAGGGTACTTTGAACATCCCTCGGTAGGCGTGAGAGAAAGATTCGATGCAAAGCCAACTTTATATTTTTCCATGTCACTGATTTTCTCAAGCGGGTTTTCAATGGGACAGAAATCAGGGTTCTTAGATTCCTTGCGATACAAATCTTGGGTATTTATTTTGAGCCGCTTGAATCGGTTCGCAATGATTATTTCACAGTGGTCCCGTATTTGAACGTAGCTAAATAAGCGACATCGCGTAGCATTCTGAAGGCAGAGAACGGATGAAAGTCCAATGAAAATTGCTCGATTCCTTCAGGAGAAATCCCAGTTTCCCGTGAGTTTCATTCAATCTTTCATTCAACGATAATTTATTCTTGGTGCACCAATTGTCGAGCTTAAAAAAGATTCCTCGTGGATGCACAATGAGGATCGTCAGGAGACGTTGCCTCCTGATTGCAACAATAGTACGGGATGAAAATGAATTTCCCTGGGGATATGTCCTCGGGATTGCATCTGCGTACTTTCAAAAATTTACTTGAAAATAAAGCGACGAGAGTTTGGTTGAAATTTTGGGGTTCAAACACGTGGAAAACGATGATGGTACAATATGGTACCGGGAGAAGGGTGTCTCTCGTATTTCCATTCCTGATAATTATTCATTTTCCTGCACGTAATTTGGCTTAATTTAATTGCAAACGATGCCTGTGTCGTACGCGTTCCCGGAGATCTCGCTCCGTTCCCCTCCTGTCGGTTTATCTCGAACGGTAATAACCCTTTATGGATTCCGCAGACTGGCTTGATATAAACTGCTATTTAATTGCCGAGCTGTTCGATAAATCATGCATCGGCTATAAATTTTCCAGAGCACTTCGTTACCAAGCTAACCAGACTTGTTCCGTCAACAATGAAAGCAATGGGATCTTAGCTCCTTTCTCCCCTGTCCATTGTATATCAACTTCCAGAAGATAAATTCTCTTACCTAAAGTAGAAAAATTTTCTCGGGAAACTGGATAAAACATGGAAGTCAATTTTCGCCGGCGAAATGAACCGCGAGAATCCTCGATTTGGCACGTCATCGTGACGTTGGGGAAACTCTGGTTACACGGTAATCGTTGATACGATTCCAAATCCTTGGTTCGTTCGATTATTCAGCAGTGGCTGTAATTACCGAGTCACGTACGCTTCTCTCGCGTCATTAAATTTATCCACCGGGCATCGATGTAACTTCGCTCTCCTCCTGTTCCGAGATCAGCAAGCCGTTGTTCGTTCTCTCTCTCTTTGGTCAGGATTAATTTCAATTTCTATCACCGCTCGGTTCGTACCTATCCGTAATTCACCTAAATACTCGTGCCGGTATCTCTGGTAATCCATTGCAAGAAGAGTTTCGCGATCGAGGATCGAATCGATGAAAAGTGGTAAGCAGGGTGAAACAGGTCGTAAATAAAAGAGAAAAGATGGGGAGGAGCGAGAGAAAAAGGCATACCGCAGATTCTAGATCTATCTGGCCTCCAGCTAGGCAACAAGCATCACCGTGAATATTGGGGTGGTGCTCGATCGAGCGTCCTCGAGAGGGATTTCTTCGGTGAAAAACGCGCTAGCTGTGCCAGGCCGTCGACCTCGAGCTACTTGGCGTTCGCGGTTTGAAAAACAGCTTCGAGAGTAGGTTCGTTGTTAATTAAGAAGGCCTAGAGGAATAGCGGCAAGCTAGAGTGCGCGCAGCGATCGTTTCCGCAGCCGTTTCGCGATCCCGCTGCGTCGAAGATCGCCGGCTATGCCTCGTAATCCTTAATGCCTCCCAGATACTCTCTCTCTCGCTTTAGAAAGTGCTATCGTTATCGTTAACACCTCATCCCACCCTCAGGGAGTATGGCCGCTATTCTAGCCGTGAAAATAATAGTCGCAGACGGCGCGCGATAGGGGTGGGATCAGAAGGAATAGAGAAAAAGTTCAGGGTTCTATTTTTTATCGAGCTATTTGGGTTAACTTTAAACTATTCATAGATACCGTAACCATCAATTTCGAGCAGGGTAAGACAGAGGTCTGGAGGTCGGGTAGTTTCGCGGCTTCGTAACGGACGATTAGGCAGATGCGATTCTTATTGTTGCACTCCAACACCAGGCGAAATAACACTCCAGAGAGGATATAAAAGAGTGAACTCCAACGAATCGACACCATCTGGTGAACCTGAGTGGCTGCTGCATTACCCTTGAAAGCTCACCGCTCTCGAGTGACGCGGCTCCTCTATGCCGCGGGTGCATTCATCGCGTAATTAACGTCTCGTAATTATGGCCGCGGAAGAGAGAGTCTGGACGTCTCGTGGTCGGTTCGCTCGCTCTCGTTGCTCCTGAATATTATGAGCTTTCATGGGGCTCCACGTGAATAAGGCGCTTGGCGTTTCTGAAGAGGGTGTTACGGGCATTATGGACCCTCTCGACGATGGACCCGAGT